GATTGGCTCTCCGTTTCTATGAAATCCGGATCTAATGCAAGATTATTTGTGTAAGAGTCTTTATGTATATATGGTTGTTTTTGAAGAAAAAATTCTTTAAGACTCTCTCGTTTCGTTTGTAATGCGGTATCATATTGTTTCTTTCCTTCGGTTAAATCGCTTATATTTTCCGCAAGTTCAGCTGGATGAACGGTCTTATCAGAAGAAGCAACATCATTCGAAGTCGAATTTTCTAGAGGGATAGATATCGAATTATCGTCGTCTGGAAGTGCCGATGATTGCTGCTGGATATCTGTATTTAGAACGGTGACAGAGGTCTGAATCTGAACAGTGCTAATATCGGGATTATTCTGTGTATTCCCGTCTGACGATAAATTAATATCACTGTTGTTGTTCAGTGTAATATTATGTGTATCTTGATGCGCCTCTTGCGTCTCTTGTGGAAATGACGGCTTTTCGATATGAGAGTCAATGTTAGATGTGTTTTCAGGTAAATTAGGTGTAGGTGGTTCATTTTGCTTATTCTTTTTTGCATTTTCTTCTTCTAGCTTTCGTACAAGTAATAACTCACGCATTGTTCGTTCTGGAAATCAAAAATAAGAAAATGTTTGTTTCGGACTTTGTGTTCAACAATAAGTTAAAACTTACATACCAAAAAAGGATCCTATAGACACTAAATGTTAGTTATGATGTTTGTCTTTAGTAGTAGTAATGGGAGGATTAAGTCAGGTCGTAAACTCTTATAGCAAATTGTGAAAGATAATAAAAAAATAACATATATACATGAACTTAAAGACGAAAAAACAATAGGGACTGAGCCTTGCGTTTATATTTATTCTAAAGGTCTACTTTAAATCGAGTTAATTTAAAATTTTATATATATAAATATAGATATATAATTAAAATTGGAACCAATAATAAAAAAAAAATAAAGGTATTTACAAAATAAATACAAGAGCGTGTACAAAGGTACGTACGTACGTACAATATGTTATATACCACCGCTGTATGTGACAACTAAAGCACGTGAGACATTCACGGTCGCACGCAACCATAACACTGTCAGTTTTAGGACTCATGAAA